AGGAAGCTCGTCTTGCATGGTGTTTGGAATATCAAAGCTGGACAAAGGAAGACTGGGCAAAAGTTATGTGGAGTGATAAATCAACTTTTACACAGTTTCAACAGAATCGTTGTAGCAGAGTGTGGCGAGAACCTGAGGACAAATGGAAAGCTTCTTGTATTGCTACTACAGTAAAGCGTAGTCCTAGTCGAATACACTGGGATGCTTTTCAAGACAAGGTTTAGGTCCAATTGTACCATTAACTGGAACTGCAACTGGTGCTTCAAATGTTGAAATTCTTCGCAAGTATGTTAAACTAACCATGAGGCAAATATTTCCAAATGGTGATAGTTGGTTCCAAGAAGATAATGCTCGCCCTCACAAATCAAAGGTTGCAATGGCATTTCAAGCCAAAATGACTTGCATGTATTACCTTAGCCGGCTTAAAGTTCAGATCTCAATCCAATTGAGAATCTGTGGGTTGAGGTAAAGAAAAATATTAATGAACAAAAGAAAAAGCCATCTAACCTTGCTGATCTTGAATGACATGTTAAAAGAGCATGAAAGAAAATTCCAAAAAAGACTATTGAAGACTTGGTCGATAGTATGCTGCAGCGAATTCAAGCTGTTATTGCTGCGTAAGGAGGCCTGACTAAGTATTAGTTGCTTAATACAAAATTTAGAGCTTTATTAATTTAAAATAAATTTATATAAACTTTTTATTCTTTTGCATAAAAATTTTGAGTTTAATATTGGGTAAAAAAGTGTTCAGAAACTTTTGACAGGGTCTGTATATGCCAATCTTACATTACACAGCTCCTATCCTTTAGCAAGAATTTTACCAAATATCTTTTGCGCATTTTAGATGATTAATTTACATGATTCAATAGATATATTAGATAAGAACATACTTTTTTAATTTTTATATCACTTTATAATAGATAACAAAGAAGATAATACACATTACACTTCACATATATACAGCATTTACATATTAAAAAAAGATAAACTTGATGTGAGTGGCATTTATTAATATTTGTACAGCATTGGTAAACTAATACACTATTAATCAAGAATACAATTCTCTCTTTACACAGCTAAGAATATACAGTGCATTATACTATATTTGAGTAAAGCTAACTTTTGATCTCCTTGAAGGTAATATGCATTACGTCAGAAAATTCACGAACTTTTCTAGTGTAATTGAGAATACTGGGACTACTTCAAATATAGACAATACAAAATTCAGACACACATATGCCATTTCTGATAACAATAAACCTTTTTTGTGAATCTATTTTAGCAGAATGATAAGGACCATATATCTCATCTAAATACATCTCGATCTGATTCTTCCATTCATTTACATTATAAAGATACTAGCTTATGCAGACATTAGTTCAAATGCTTGCCTAATATTTGTTAATAATTTGCTATTGTGTGAAGTAAAATCACTGATAGATACCTGTATAAATATAGGTTCAAGCATATAATCAAATTGGGATACTTATCAAAACTACAATCTAATACTTTATCATTATCAGGTCTGAGGGATAATTAGAAATTTTTTAATCAAATCATAGTCATTAAAATAAAGTATAATAACATTTCTATTATTATTATTGAGATCTGTTACATTGAGTTATATTATTATGTTACATTTGCACACAAGTTGATTGAATAAGACTTCTTCAAATTGCTCTTCAGTTAGACTTCCTACACAGAATCAGTTTTTTATATTTTCAGGTAGATCAAATAACATATACATTTTTAATAAGACTTTCTGGGCAGATAGGCATAGAGGGAGGTAATGAGTAATCCCTTCCTTATACTGATAAATTAACCTAAGATCTAAGAACTTCCATTCAAACTGCACAATGGATTTACTAGAAAGAAACATGCTTGTGAGAGCATCATAATGGCGAGTTTTTTCAGTTTTCGAGAGATCATTATAATCTTTTTGAGTAATAATCAGAATCTTGTTGACCCGTTCAATTTCAAATTTTTTTAATACTTGTCGAAAGCAGTTTACACTAGTAATAATAATATGATATTGAATTTTTTAATATATTTAACTAGGTATATAAGTTTACGTAACACACAATTTGTAACCTTTTTTGCCTTTTCTTTGATGCTTTGTATTCTCAGAACGGGATGCAACTGTAACAAAATATCAAATACATTGCTCTGTAGTGGACCAATATAGATCACTCAAAACTCATATTGACCATTTTTCATATATTCTCTCTCATATCTAGTATGTGCAGTTCTTGTCAAGATTACACTACACGTACAAATTTGTAACTTTCTTCTTAAAAATTAAGGTTCATTAGAGGACTTAACAAGTGAATTCTTAAAAGTACTGGATCTTTTTCAAATAATATACCATGTTCGTCAACAATTAATAGAGCTTTACGATCTGCTAATTTAATTAAATCTAGAATTTCTTCAGCAATAGTAACCTCAATCTTCTTAGAATCATAATCAATATGTTGAATAATCTGCTTAAGATCAGTAGCAGTTAAAATATCTTTATTAAGTGTCAGGAAGAATCTGCAAATTATATCTTCTTTTTTTTGATGATTCTACATTTAGATCAGATGCATCTGTGATGTATAGTATCAGCCATTCTTTAGCATAAGCTTAAGATGCAAGAAAGTAGAAAATATATGATTTATTCACGTCCATTGGGCCTAAAAGAACGCGTTTAATCAAATTGTCACTATCTGCTAAAAGCTTGTCCCATATGTCAATTATCTGCACAATAACAAGCAATATCCTTTCTTAATAACCTTCAGCGAAGTGCTTAGGTTCCTGGCTAAAATGTGGCAGGATAATTGATTAGTCAACATGAAGGTTCTAGAAGGCAGTTCTAAAAGTAGTGCACTGTTAACGGAGTAATTGACCAGTCATAATGAAGCCATGTAGATGACGCAGTATAACAATCTCTTAATCCAGAATTCTGAAAATACTAAGAATTCTGCGAATTCTAAAAATACAGAGGATCTACGTAATTCTAAAGATCTTTTAAATACTGACGATAATCCTAATTTTACGAATTAAATGAAGTCTAAGAATATTTAGTGTTATACTTATTTTTAATATTCTAAATTTTATTGTTATTTTTATTATATTTTAAATTTTTATTATTTTATGTATATTTATTTTACTTATATTTTATTTTACTAAATTAGTTAGTTTATAGCATAGTAATTAGTTAGCCATAATAAAAGAAATTTTGTATAAATAGATAGACTTTTTGCTTATGTTATAAATTAACTCTTTTACAGATTAGAAAACTCTTTTGCAAATCTAAGTAACTCTTTTGCAGATTTGTAAACTCTCTTGCGAATACGAGTTTCAATATTAATAAAGGAATTATTCAAAACTTATATCTTTCTGCCTCTTCGTGTCTTCATATAGTTTGACGTAATCCCTATACATTATTTGTAATTGAGTTCATCATCCAAATTCTTTAATTAAATTATTTATAATCTCATCTTTCAAGTCTTCATACTTGATAGATTTGTTTAAGTTCAATGCGTAAATTTAGTAAAGTTAAGAGTTAGGCAGATCCTAACGTCTTAACTACAGTAGACCGTAGTTAAAAATTTCGAGTAGAGACTTGATAATGTGATTACCCTGAGTTGAAGAATTTTACGGTGACAAAAGTGGTGATTCCTGTTAGGATTCAAACATAAGAAAGTATATAGTTTTGCAAATATAATTTTATATTGAGAGCAACTGAGAAGAATATCAAAGAAATTTAAAAGGAAATATAGAGAAAATGAAGTGTTGAATTGAAGTTACATAAAGGTTACACACAAAAGCTCAATGGATAGTACCCATTGTTCCCAATCTCATGAAAGCTTGTGTAATATTTTGGTCACACAAAATTCACTGAAGATCACCTGACCAAATGCTAAATCTTAATTGGATAAAAGAAATAATAAATACAAATTTAGAACTAAAGTTACGAATGTTATTATTTCGACTTTAACAGATCGAATTTTACGGTTTTAGATCATCAGAACCGTCAAATATTAAGGATCATAACAACATATGTTTCATTCAAATCAGACCACTGGATGGTGAGATAATTGAAGAAATGTTATTTTATTTTCTTTATTTTATTATATAAAATTATTGGACTTATGAATTAATAGACAAAGTTTTTTTAGTTTAGTTTTAGTAATTATAGATAAGGTTTTCATTAAGCCTAAGTAAAAAAGTGAGAGCTTTGGGTTGTCACTGATCCCGATGAAAAGTGAGGGTTATTGCTAAGTCTATAGATGAAAGCATACGAGATATTAGAATTTTTGGAAAAGGTTTATCACTTAGCCTATGAATAAAGTAAAAGGACAGTTTGTGATACTTCAGATAGTAAGATAGTCTACTAAAGGATCCATGTAAATAAATTTGTAAATAGATTTAATTAATTAATTAAAAGTTAGCTACTAGACTAATTGAGTATCTATAGTTAACTATATCAATATTTTTGGACTTTTGAAAATTTTAAGAAGATTTTTGATCACGTGATATAGCAAATAATATGACATTAGCAAATGAGATAATAATTATTATTTATTTAGAAAAAAGAAAATAAGAGTGAAAGTGAAAGTGTTAACAATGTGATTGGCAGCTCTTGAAATAATATTAGACAATTTAAATGGCAAAATACAACAATATGTAAAATTTTATTTAATAATTGAAAAATACAAATTTGAGATATATAAAACAAAGAAAACAGAAAGAAAAATCTAACACAAAAGATCAGGAATATATCGATATCTTGAATTCTACTTTCTTAACGATTCACTTCTCAAAGGATAAGTAACATTTCTATACGCTTCTTCAAGTAAACAAATCCTATTCTCTTGATGAATCAAAAGAGAAGAAATATTAGTTAGTTCATTTTTTAAACGTTCACATTCAGCAGAAAGTTCAGCATTTTGATTTAAAGAAATCGATAATTGTTCTCTTAATGCAGAGTTTTCTTGACGAATTTCTCGAACTTCTTGATGAGACCCTGTAGCTGGAATAGAGGAAGAGTGTACATTAGAAATGTGAAGTTGAGCATCTTCGACCAATGAGTATCATTCACGCAAAGGTTAGTTTAATGAACCCAATGATGTTTTAAATGGCTACATATCGATACAGAACAATAAAGGCTGTAACAACCAGTTCTAAGCAAGGAAAACTCACGTTTTGAGAATCTATAGTATAGTATAAGGAAGAAGGCAAAAATGTTAATATGCTGCAGTCATATTAAATGAGATCGAACATACTGTCACACTCCTCAGATGAGAGATGAGTTACATATATTAGTCTATCAAGACAAGTTCATAAAAGATGCATTTCATATATTCTCAATTGTCATATCTGGTCGTATTCTTAAGTACACTCGTTTCACCTCAAAAAACTCTCTCACTATAATAATTTTTTTGACAAACTAAAGCTTTACAACGAGTGAAAGCAGACTTTTTCTTGTTTACTTAAACCATAATGAAGTTAAAAATATTTTAAGAAATTTAAAAATTTTGCAATAATTTTAGAAAGAAAGTGAAAATTTGTGAAAAATAGAAGGAATTCTTAGACAAATATTTATAATCAAATGAAGTAGCTATGAAAAAATTCTAAAATTCTCAAGATCGTGAGAATTATTTTTTGCAGAAAAATAAACAAAAATCTATTGGATCATATTGGATGATGATTATTGTATGAAATCTATGGAACAAAAACCTATTTAAAATTGGTATAGTTGATCAAGATTACTAAAATTGGATGATCACACAATGTTTGCATAGCACATTTTTGATCAATATTTCTTTATTTAGTACAAATTCAAGAAATTTTCATAAGCTGTATAATTTTAAGAGTTTAACATAATGCATGCATGAGAATCAAGGAATATGAGAATGTTAGCTTTCCTGAAAAAGAAATTACTTGTAATATTTGTGTAGTTTATATATTAAGAAAAGTTAAACGATATAATCAGTTGATTAAAAGTTAATTTTAAATTTGTGTTCAACAATTTTCTCATGGTAGATTTCTTAAATATTAGATTTCAATGAACTTTCTTAATATAGAAAAAGATTAAGAATATCATGAATGAAAATCAGATCAATGTATCAAGCCACTAAGTATATAATTTTATTTACAAAATGATCGATAAAATATACAACCCAGCCACAACTATCAGTCCAATCCAGCAAACCACCAGTGAAGAAAAATTCCAAGAAAAAGATCAAGTAAAAATAGATATTCTAACCACCACCTAGACCATCCAACTGAAGTTAATATCTGACCTTCCCACAAGTCTTTATAAAATAATCACTGCTCTAAAAATGCCTCTTTTGATAAAAGTTTTCAGCTTCTAACGTATTTATTCTTTGTCATAACAGTTCTTCGCGAGTATTTTGATCAGCTACAAGATATGCCAGTCAGTCAGCCATAAGCAACTTCTTTCTTTCTTCTTCTTATACTTGAGTTTGCAAAGTTGCAAATTGTTTGTGAACTTTATTTCTTTATTATAAACGGAAAACTTTTATACGTTCAGCTTTCTTTTGAACATCATTTTGTGAATGATTATTAGAAGGCATTATTCTTTTTTTTTAAGTAGAATTTTATTGAAAAAATTTTGACTTTGAATAATTCAATCAGTATATGTAAAAGTCATATTTAAGGAAAATAATTTATCACATAATTATAATTAGAAAATCATTCAAAATCAAACTATTTATATAGAATTTTGAGTCTTATAAGTCTGAAAGTTAACAAATTTAGCCCTATATAATGTTAGAAAAACCTATGTTTGTAAGGTCAATTGCGGATAGTATGAATATGACATGCTCTTAATAGGTTGCGCATAAATACGGCGTGCATTTTGTAAATTCTTTTTGCAAATTTTTAGAAATCCAGAACTTGATTTTGAAAACAAAATTATTTCTTACTACGATGTTCAAAATTCAAATAGGGAAAGGATTGTTAATGAAGCAATTGACCAGTCATAATAAAGTCACGTAGATAACGCAGTATGATGATTTCTTAATTCAGAATTCTGAAAATACTGAGAATTCTACGAATTCTGAAAATACAGAAGATCTACATAATTCTAAAGATCTTTCAAATACTACCGATAATCCTAATTTTACGAATTAAATGAAGTCTAAGAATATTTAGTGTTATACTTATTTTTAATATTCTAAATTTTATTGTTATTTTTATTATATTTTATATTTTTATTATTTTACGTATTTTTATTATTTTCAATATATTTATTTTACTTATATTTTATCTTACTAAATTAGTTAGTTTATAGCATATTAATTAGTTAGCCATGATAAAAGAAATTTTATATAAATAGATAAACTTTTTGCTTATGTTGTAAATTAACTCTTTTATAAATTAGAAAATTCTTTTGCAAATCGAAGTAACTCTTTTGCAGATTTGTAAACTCTCTTGTGAATACGAGTTTCAATATTAATAAAGAAATCATTCAAAACTTATATCTTTCTATCTCTTTGTGTCTTCATATAGTCTGACATGATCCCTACATATTATTTGTAATTGAGTTCGTCATCTGAATTCTTTAATTAAATTATTCATAATCTCGTCTTTCAAGTTTTCATACTTGATAGATTTGTTTAAGTTCAATGCGTAAATTTAGTAAAGTTAAGAGTTAGGCA